TTATCAAGTTCCTCTACCAATGTTTGAATAGGTGTCAGCTTTGCAAGTTATCTCAACAAAGTTTTTATAAATGTTATAAACATCTTATAATATGGTTGTAATTAAAGGATAATTTTGATAAAGTGAAGATTAGTGCTTAACAAAATCAACCAAAAACTCGATTATCAAGTTTTTGAATTTATTAATTTGTAGTATTGTGCTTCAATTATAAAATCTATTTTTACTTTAATTTGACTTTAAACTTTATGTTAGTTACTATGAAGACTAAAGTAAGATTAGATTCCTGTTAGATTTATATATACTAAAAATAAATTTTGTATTTAATTTTCAATATTGTAAATTGATAGATTCAAAAACTCGATAATCGAGTTTTTGTTTGATTTTGCCAAGTACTAGTAAAGATAAAATCTCCCATAGCCTAACTCCAGCTTTTGTCATTTCACTATATTGATTTTGTGCTTGCTCATCTAGTTTTCTTAAAAATTGGTAATAAGATATATTCTTTGATAGTTTATGATTATAAGATGGATCTTGAATGGATAAAGTCTACATATTATTTTTTTCTTTAGTTCTATGGAGCAAGAAAGGACAGTCTGTTAGTCTAGAGTCTGTTTGTCTTTTATATGTTCATCTGTAAGATTTAAGCAGCTTCTATAACTTCCACTTCTATCACAACTTAAGTATACTTTATTTGGCTTTGATTTTGTGATAGAGATGCCATAGCCATATGAAGCACCAAAACTTTGTATATACTCAATTAATGCAGCATGACTTTGACATTGATCAACAGGAGAATATTGCATTGTAGTTACATTTAATATAAGAAAGGTTCGTATATATAATGCTGAAAATTATTTTTAATATGTATTGTACAAGTTATAATTCTAACAATTCTCTTTTATACTAGGAAAACGGATACCGTTATTGTCCGAAGCCAATAATAAACATCAGGCTGATCCGTGTTGATCTCTATAGTTGATTGGCTAATAATTGATCACGTGGATAGAACCCAACACAAAATCATGTCTATTGCTCTACCATAGAGTCCTCGCTACGCTTCAGACAATTACATATTTGCAATGAGCATAACGAATCATTGCATACTGTATCTTATAATTTAATAGACTCAATCCCAATGACACCATATTTATGATTATACAAAAAGTAATGATGGCTTTTATATAATTTTACAGGGTTTATCACAAATTCCGAAAGACAGATTCCCAAAGGACCTAATACTAACAAAATTAGCCAGCATTAGTTATAATACTGGCTAATTTGGTCGGTATTATGTTCTTTTGGGAAAATGGCTTTCAAAATTTTGTGACAAACCCATATGTATAACATATATAGTTAATATTAATAGCGATATAGTTAATCCTTAATAAGCATACGTTGCCAGAAAAGGTGCACTTATAAAATATACAATTGCTGTGAGTGATTTATCTCAACTATATATATTATATGATGTATATTTATAGAGGAAACGGTTAACTGAGTTTAGGGAAATATGATAATTTATGAATATAAAATGATTAGGCTTGGAAAGGTAATTACTGTATTTGATACTTATTTATCAAATGAGATCTTTGTTATCATCGAATATACAGTACTTTATCCTTCGACAAAGATACTGCGCTATAATATATATTATTCACTTTTCTTAGCCTCAATTATAAACT